AGAAAGACTACTAAGATTGGAGGACAGGCTGAAGGCTTCATTGATGAAGGCTTCAAGAGTTAAAGCTTGGCCTAGGCCTTGGCATCTTGCCAGCTTTGTACATGGCAGGCGTTCACTTTGAGAGGCACTTTGAGCTTGAAGGGCAGTGGGTCCTCCATGAGGCGCACAAGCTCCGACAAGGCTTCCTCCGCGTGTTTTTCTGGTCCCTCCAGCACGAGTTCATCGTGGATCTGCAAGATCAAGCGGAAGCCAAACTCTTGGAGAGTTGGGGAAGCCTCCACGCGGCCCATGGCGCTGAGGACGACGTCGGCTGCGCTGCCTTGCACGGGCGTGTTGCCTGCCACACGCCGTGCCCTCCCCCGCTCTCTGAAGCTGCCTGAGGCACTCTTTCGCCAAAGAGGCCGGCTGCGGCCCAGCAGCGTCACAGCCTGGGCGGTGGCGTTGCTGTCGGCATCCTCGTGCAGTTGCTGCATCCAGGTCTCGATCTCTGGGAAGGCCGCAAACCAGCGCTTGATCAGTTTTTCCGCCTCTCCTTGACTCAAGTCCCATTCAATCCCCAACGAGTAGGCCTCAGAGTGCATATTCTGAACAATGACTTTCCAACTCAGTTCGGGTTCCTGTTCTGTTCTATGCTTTTCTGTTCTGACGATTTCTTGCTTCGTGGCCTCCTGGTCGATCGCGTAGCTTCCACGGCTGACGTCCGTCTCCCTCTTCCCACGTCGTGTGCCCCTCGTCCCAGTAGTGTTCCCCGCAAGCTTTCGCTGCCATGTTTCTTCGCGCAGGTCTGCTTCTTTATCGCCGGCGGGATGCCCAGCTTTCACCTGCCACCTCGCCCTTCAGCTTGGGCCGGGAACTTGTCGGAACTATTGGAGTTTTTGGGCCTCTCGTTTTGGGCCTTTGCCGAGCCTGCAATTCGGGGCTTTTTTGTCGCATGTCTCACGTAGTACGTCGTGGTGTCGCACTTTGAGGGAAGCTCTCCGGAGGTTTGTTCGACCGAAACAGAAACGGGAGAAGGTGTGTGTGGTGGTTGGGTGTCTCCCCTCTCTCTTCTCCTCTTCTCCTCTTCTCTCTCATTTCTTTTTCTTTGCCTTGCTGTTTTTTTCTCTTCTTTTTTTGCTTTTTTGCTCTGTTTCTGTTTTTTTATGCGCCAAGGGGCGGTCTTGCCGTAGAGGAGGGAGAAGTTCAGGGTCTTGGCCCTCCGCCGCAGCTCCGGGAAGCGCTCCGCGACGAGCGGGAGACGGGGAGGAGCAGGCTCCGGAGGAAGCTCCGAGTCTGCACTCCTCTCACTCCTCGGACGCCTCTCCTCCTCTGCACTTTTCTTCTGAGTCAGGCTCAAGGAGTCCAGCGCCACCTCGCCGCCGTCCACGGCTTCCTGGACCTCTTGGAACATGCGGTAGGCCGTCCGGGAGTGGATGTCGCCCCCCTCACTCAAGATGGAGATCATGTCGGGGCAGTCGGCCAGATGTGCCACCAGCCGCAGCTCCAGCTGGCCGTAGTCGGCGACCAGGAGCCGTTGCCCTTCGGCTGCCGCCACCGCGGAGCGCACGGCATGGCCCCCCTGTTTGGGCTCACCCTGCAGGTTGGGACTCCGCGTGGACAATCGGCCCGTGACCGTGTTCAGGTTCAGCCTTGTGTGGACCCGCGCATTTCCATTCGCAGGGTTCGCAGGGTTTGAAGGGCTTCCCTCGCAGGAACTCTGCAAAGACCGCAGGAAGCCCAGCTGCGCTTCTTGCTGCCGCCAGTTCAGCAGGCCGCGCAGCGCCGCCTGCGCCTCCGAGCTCTCCTTTTTGGAATGCGGGAGCAGCTTTCCGGACCTTCTTGTGTTTTTTGGGCTTCTTCAACCTGATTCATGAGCCTGTGCCCTTCCAAAAACCCGAGAAAACTCATCCCGCCCCCCCCTCCACCCACAGGCCTCGCGCTCCACAAGTGCCTCCAGCACCTCCAATGTCACGCTGGTCGCTGAGCGCCTTCCCGAGCGCCCAAGGACCGGGAGGAGGCCCAGACCCCGCAGCGTGAATGCCGAAGTTTTCTTCGGCAGCCTCCGCCGGGCCTCACGATGTTGTGGAACAAGATCTAGACAGGTCTGGACATATCCAGACTCTAGACGCTGCAACACATCTCGGGTCGATTCGCTCGGAACTAAAGCGCCTGCACCTGCACTGACGGATCACAAAGGCGTTGGATCAAATCGGCCTTCCGGCCGGTCACCTGCTGCGACACGTTCTCTCCGCACTCACAACAAAGCGGAGAGCACGGCGGAGGGGTGATGTCAAGTGTTTTGAGAAGGTTGCGCTTGAGGGCTGAAGATCACGGAGCACGACTCCATTATGCTGTGTGCGTGACATCCCTGCAACATCCTGAATCTCTCCCATTGACCATTGTCATGGCATGCCTTCTCCCGCCGAATTCCCAAGCTGACTTACACTCCGCGAACAAACGCCGTCCGATACTCACACATCTACCTCTGAGAAGGCACTTGGACTGAGACGACTGAGAGCATTTCGAAGCCCTGACCTTTTGTTGGCACTGAGTGCTGTTGCGATTTTAGCAGCTCAGCATAGTAAGAGGCAAACCGACAAACCTTTCAAGGCTACGAAACTCGCAAAGAGAGCAGAGCCAGGCCGAAGAAGGTGAGCAAAGAGCAGAGCGATCTGTTCACGCGGATGCAGGTGGCGTGGCTTGGCGGGCAGAGCACAGACGGGCGTGAGACAGCATTTCAAGGCGGCCTGAGAGACATGATTCCACAATGACGTAAACGGGTCACAATCAAGGTAAACGAAGGTTCGCTGGTAGATTGGAGGTATATTGGATTGAGATGATTTTGCACCGAGTTCATTACGACGTGCTACAATCCGATGTCTGGTGCGCTTCTTCTTTTGCAGCTCACCACGCGCATCCTCGGTATCCCATCGCCATGTGCTCGCAGATACCCCAGGTTTCGCTCTGAGGTCCGGGGGCACGTCTCATGCACCGCACAGCACATGCCAGCCAGGGGGCCAGCCAGAGCCAATGCCGGAGAGAAAGAGCGACCGAGAGCTACACCGAGTGCCACACCCTAGCGACCCCCCCCCCCCCCTTCCAGTACAGAGCTTCGGGGTAAAACCGGGTACGCTCTCCATTGACACTCCCAGGGCATCACAGTCACTAGTTGGATTTCGCTGTTTCTTTTTCTTTTCCTGCTGTTCGTGTTGCTGATGTGGGACACCTTCAAGAGGTGACATTGACATATCCATCATTTGGCCAGGCTTGTGCCTCGTTTCTGTGCTTTGCCCGAGCCTTCTGCGTGAGATTTGTGCGATTTGGTGCCTTTGCTGATGTGCATATCGCATGAGCTGCCGTGTATGACATATCGGGCCTCTTGAGAGCATTAGAGAGTCGGTGCGTTTATGAGGGCTTCTCGAGAGAGCGAGACCCAACCTTCACCGACAGATATGCAAGACACAGCAAATGATTTGGGAAAAGAATCACATTTGCAAAAAGAAATGGAGAAAGCGCATTCGTAATTGTTTAACGCTCAGAACGCTCATATGCAATGCATATTGCAATGCATTGCAATGCTCCGGTCCAACTATGTCCAACTCAACAGCAAACACTCGGAGAGCCAGGCCAGGAGGCCCCGTTCTCGGCAAAGCTCCTTCAGCCTCGGAAATGGCGAAGCATGGGGCGAAGCAGCAACGGTTGGGAAGCCCCCAGCCTGTTTTTGACTCTTCGTTTAGGGGCGAGGGGAAAACCGCATTATGTGGCTTCTGAACAGTGTGGCCGATGTTACTTGTACACGCGCCCCAACAAAACCACCGTGTGCCCGAGATTCTGTTCGGAGGGCTCACAGGCACTTGACATTTGACAGTCTGTCTACGCGTCTTGAGCTCCACAAGTTCCTGGGCGCCCAATCTCTGGCACTTTGTGGTCCTGCAACTCCGCTTCGGGCAACAGCTGGACCTCCTGCAAAGAGTCTTTTTGGAACACTTGAGAGGAACATGGAACACGGCGAGTGGACAAGCTTGACTGTTCTACTGTTCTACTAGTTCTTCTCAAGGCTGCGGGCAAATGTGGGAATCTTGATCTTCGTGTCAGTTTCGGAGCACCGTAAGATGAATAATATGAAACAGTCTTTGTGTGACCTGTGGGACCTTGCACGCTCTCTCCCTCTCTCAATTGCACACTCGGCTCAATTGTCAAGCCTCAATGAAAAACGTCCCTATGAGGCCTCTCGAAGACTGCGGAGCCCTGTGTGCTGAACTTCAGTGAGGGCAGTGATGAAACTTATGCTACGGCTGTTCCTGCGGTGCTTCCAGTTCTTCTTGATCGGCCACAGCAGAAAACGGCCTGCATGTTTGTTGCGTACTTCACCCCTCTGCATCTGAACAAATTTCTTTCGTAAGAAGATGAATGCCGCAGACATGATTTTGGTCACAACAGATTCTTTGCAAACTTGTCCTATACGCTCTGTGTGACGGTAACAAATTCTTGAACGTCGATAAGTCGTTAGAGTTTGAGCCCGTTGAACAAAAGAGAAACGGAGAGGAGCCGTCGTGCTCTCGTGCCGATCTCTCTCTCTCTCTCTCTCTCTCGCAGCTTGCTCTCGCAGCTCCTCCGCTGGACAGGAGGAGGCGCCGGTGGCAGAAGCAGCGGATTCGGCGGTGGCGAGGAACTCCTTCTCTCTCTCAAATTCATCTATTTATCCGCCGATCCCAGGGGTCGGCGCTAGTGAACCTTTGTTGTTTCCGCGGCATGTTTTACTCCTTGTGAACACATGACATGTGGTGGCTCGGGGCTGTTTCGTTGAAAATAGCATTCATGAGCATCCGGGTGCTCGAGGGTGCTGATCTGAGTGTCCTCGGCCGCCCCCACTGCAGTGGGTGTGGATTGTGGGTGCCGGGTTCGCTTTGCCTTCCTTCGTCCGAACCCTACACCCCCTCAGCTCCTGAGCCCTGGGCGCCTAAACCCAAACCTGAACCCAAACCCATGTAATCCCTGCGCTAACCCTGAAACATAGGCTCCTCAACTTGTCATTTTCGTGGTGGGGCCTAGTGATTTTTGTCAACGTCCAGGTTATTCAGCCAAAAATGCGCCCATAAAACAGAAAGTCTCTGTCTCGGGCACCAAGAGTCGGTCGGGCTTGGCCGTGGCCTTCTGGAAAATTTGCTCTACAAAAACATTTGTATTCACGGCGAAGCCTCAGAAACACCAAACTTTCCGATTTTCAGGGAAATCCTGAATGCGCCTAAAGCACCAAAGCAGCCCGGAATACGCCAATTTTCGGAGACTTTGGGGACTCAGCCAATTCCCACAAAGCCAAAACTTGATAGGAGCCACGAACCCGAATGCAGAAAGCAGTCACCTATAACGTAAATGTAACGCAATATAAGCGAAACGTCGGTGTTCGGACGTTTTTTTTTTGGGGTCCGGTTCAATCGGATCATTGTGCATGAAGTTCTTGCGTAGTCGAATCCACATGACATCTAACCCACCCGCACCCCACCGATCCTCACCCCACCCACCCACATCCCACCCACACCAACCCACATCCCACCCACCCACACCCACCCACACCCCACCCACCCACATCCCAACCACCCACATCCCACGCACCCACACCCCACCAGTGTGCCGCCGCCACCACCACCACCACCACCACCACCACCACCACCACCACCACCCACCCCCCACCACCACACCACCACCACCACCACCACCACCACCACCACCACCACCACCACCACACCCGCCAGACACACCACCACCACCACCACCACCACCCACCACCCACCACCACACCACCACCACCACCACCACCACCACCACCACCACCACCACCACCACCACCACCAGGTACCACCACCGCCACCAGGCACCGCCACCAGGCACCGCCACCAGGCACCGCTACCACCACCACCAGGTACCATACCACCAGGTTCCACCACGACCACCACCAGGTACCACCACCCACACCCCACCACCACGGACTTGCCGTCCTTCTGTTATTGTTTATTTTCTATTTTTCTTTCTTCTTTCTTTCTTTATTGTTTTCTTCCTTCCTTCCTTCCGTCCTTCCTTGCTTCCTTGCTTCCTTGCTTCCTTCCTTCCTTCCTTCCGTCCTTCCTTCCGCCCGTCCTTCCTTCCCTCCCCTTCCCTCTAACCTTCGGAAGAACAGAATAAGTATTTCTTGATCCTAAATACATTATTTTTGAGCCTACATAGATAATTTTTTTGATCCTGAATACAATTTTTTTTGATTCGCATGCCCCCCTCCCCGCCCCGCCCCCCCCGCGCCCACAACCCTTCCCCTCTCCCTGCCCACGCCTTCCCCTCTCCCGTTCCCAAGTTCTTCTTTCGGGTTTATATAGGGTACAGCATCTCAAGTCCAAGCATGCACTCTCAAGCAGCTTGTCAAGAATTGGAAAAATACCCACCCGCCCAAAGAATACGATAACTTAGGGACCAACAACAACAGCAACACCTTTTTCTGGGAAGGTACTATTTACTTCTCCCCAACACCCTCTGGGCCAAAGTCTGGGTCTTGTTAGTGGTGATTTTCGTGATCTGATTGTCTGATGCAAGCGAGGCGGTGACAGCACAGCATTTTGATTTGGTGGATTTTCTCTGATTGCTTTCTGCAAGCTGGGGCGGTGAGAAAGTGAGAAACACTTTTTGTTAGTCGTGATTTGATGGCCCGCTCGAGCAGTGATTCTTCTGTGAGCCACTTCAACAGTGCATCTCACCCGTCTCACCGTAAACCCTGACAGGCCTCAACCCAAAGGAACAGCGGACACAGATGGGCCCTTGAACACCCTGCCCGACTTCTTCTGCACTGCAGGTACAAGGAGTCGACTTAAATGAACTTAAATGTCGAAATAGACGTCGACAGATGTCACGCGCCGCGCGCGCCGACTCTGCGCGAACTTTGGGGGAGTTCTCGCCGCTGCTTCGCCAGTAGCGTTCTCAATAAAAGTCTCTGAGATGGCTCCTACATCGATCTCTCTTTCTGGCTCTCGCATAATCATTCATCTCTTCCTTTTCTTCTCCTTTCCAGCGACAAAACCGCTCCACTCACGTCCCCGTTGCCCCCCCACCACCAACGCATCGTTTTACCTGACATGACCTGACCGTGATCAGATCCTGGGCGGACCACCTGCAGGCTCGCCGATGTTTCCCCCTTTTGCCGCGCCGCTGGTCACCAGAAGCTCGAAGTATGCACTTCATGGCCGCTCAGGAAGACAACAAAGTGTCAGCCACCCTGCTTCTGAGGGCGGCGGAAGAACCCGGAAGAACCCGGCTGTGACGGTCAAGTGGTCAAAGTGGTCAAAGTGGTCAAGTGGTCAAGTGGTCAAGTGGTCAAGTGGTCCGTCCGTTCAACACGATGCACACCACACGACACTCACGACACTAGGGTCCCCGATGTCCCCTAGCAGGTCTCTGCACCCTCGAAGTCTCAGCTCTTGTGGTCTGTAGTAGGCGTCCTTCTATACCGCGTTGATACCCTCCAAGAAGTCCCTCTCT